TTCAAACAATTGACCTCTCGTCCTTCTCAAAACTTATAGTAATGAGAAGGTTAAACGGGGGTACGAAAATACTAATGGCAAGCATATGCGCTCGAATGCTACAATGTAGCACTTGGATACTGGCTCATTCAACAGAAACTATAAAACATTTACTGTTACAACACAATAATTCGCACACAGCTTGTAGGAAATACGTGGACTGTGATGGCTGTATTTTTGTCGCTTGATCCACATGTTCCGTGCTTATTTCACGAAGTCTGATCTGCTTTGAATTATCTTTCAAAATGTTGTCAATGCCATACTTTCCCGTATGCCTAGGAGGAACTATCGATACTAACAAAACTGGGGCACGAGCTTTTCAAAAGTATAAACCCGGAGCGTTCGGTAATAGGAGGGTACGTTCCCGTTGTTACGTAGCTACCCTGCAAACCCAACAACCTAGGACTATAAATTGCGTCAAGTCACAAATTGCCTGAGAAATTGATCTGATTTCCGTTGAATAGTTCGTGTGGGGCTATTTAATGTCACTTTCCGACAAACAAGAACAGCTCCTTATCGTTTTTTTTTTTTACATCGTAGGCTTGAATACATGAATTAGTGTGACATCAATCATAGTTCAATAGCTCCTGCGGCTGTTAATGATGGGGTTTCTGGTTATTCGACAGAGTATCGTGTAGCATACGTTAATAGACATGGAGCCGTTTAGGGGGGAGATGACGTTGAACTAGTCAGACAGTAAAGGACAACCCGAGAAGTCTCGCTCATTCACCAGACTTAATGGGTGCGATCGCATCGATGCAAAAGTTACAGCATTAATGTTTGGTGAAAATAATGATTAAATAATATGCTCTTGATAACTTGTTGTTATCGTACACACAGTTACAAATATAATAGATATATATTTCTCAGCAGGACGCCGGCAGCAGTTCTTAAGTATTAGTCGGCCGGCTAATACGCTGACAGCAGCTTCAAAATTAAAGTACGTACAGAGCGTATCAAGTGTGCCTCTGGTTTTCTTTCGAATTAGGGTAGCAATTGAGCTCAACGTAACCGCATCTTTCCTTTCTTATACTCCCAGATACTTTTATCTAGATAAGTAATAATTCTTTCGCATTTATTTTCCATGTAGGTATGGTAAACTGGATCTATTTACCTGTGCCTAATCTCAGTCCTGCAACGGCAGGAATCTTCGCTTGGACATAATAAGTGTATTCGCTTCCAATCCACTTCTTGACCCCACGTCGCTTGTCTATCAACTCATATGGCAGTTCTTTATGTGGTGTTAATGCCTCAGCATGAATATGGCTGAAACCGGCCGTAACAGGCATCAGACGTCCGTACTACCATGCAACATTTGTTCTCTGACTTCAACGTTGCAAAACAGCGCTGACGAAGTCTCTGTTTGTCTCGGCGCCTAGGTAACTTTTAAATTAGACTGCGGCTGGCCTCCGGTTAATTCGATTGGACGTAAGCCACTTTGTATCCACTCTAGAAATACACGCACTCATACATGCTACTGCCTAAATATAATATAACCGTGCTGATCAAAAGAAGACGTGTCTGACTAAACCAGCCAAACCTATGCTAAGTCTATTTGCAACGAGTATGGTGTGATGTGATTATTGATCGTTTAACAAACTGATACAAACGACTAGGGCCGGCTGGAGAAGTTTAACCTAGCTTAGAAAAAACGTAATGTAAAACGGTACTGGAAGAGGAGCAGACGAGAAGCCTTTCATCAAGCTCATCATCGATCATTGGTGGAAAGCTGTCAGCGGAAGACGGGCAAGCAGTAGCGGCCGCCGCTACAGGACAAAAACAAGACGAACATACTTAAGTTTAATTAGAGAAAAAGACGATCCGGGAGGGATTATCTGGCCTCTAAGCCTTTGGTTCACTGAATTCCTTTCGACATGGACACTACTGGCAGATCTCCAGTGGTTGAAAGGGAGTGCTGTGGCCTAGACAATACGATCTGAACCGGCCTGTGCGAACTCGGGCTGTCCTCGAATCTCACTCAATCTTCTCTTCCCTCGTTCGGTTCGTACTCGTTCTTACGGGCAGCAATGTTCCGACACTCTAGCAAAAGTTCTCTCTCCAACCAATCTCTGACTCCCATCTCATTACTGAGTGCTGCCTTTCTGCCTTTTCTTATTTTCTTGCTCCGTCGTTCCGGGGGAGCCTGGAGCGCCGCCAGCAGGGCCGGGCGAGGTCTCAAGTCAAAAATCAAAGTATTTCTCAACAACATGTGCCTGCAACGATCCTACCCAAGTTGGTTTACAAGCCACTCACTGTAAGCCTGCTTACCATACGAAACCAAATGATTAGCATGTGCCATATACTTTTCATCATTAGGAAAAAAAATACAACGAGTTGAAGTTTTTTTTGTTCTATTTCACTTTCGCAAGGCCCAGTCAGGCATGTTTTGATCTGGCGAAACGGTCACAGACCAAAAGGGTGTAACTATATTCAATGGTTCTACGACCATACCAACGGAACGCAATGAGCAACACTAGGCAAGCTGACATATCTTAAATATATTTATCTCTAAAGATTAACAAACCGCCGCGCTAACATACTATGATGAAGCGGCACTATGTGCTCACCTGGCCTGTGCTACAATCTATTATTAACCTAAATGTTACGTACCTCATTCCGACTCTAATCTCAATACTTCGTGATTACATTTGGAAATTGATAGTAAAGCGTACAAGTAAATAAAAACTTAAAAAACTAAAAAAAAATTAAAAAAATAAAAAACCGAAATTGATTTAAAAGCGTTAAAAATGCCAGCAAGTGCCGTAACATGTGAACGTATGTAAGTAAAGCATAGTGCGTAACGGATTGTTTGGTAACACACAACATCCTTAGCACTTGAGCACAGTCCCTTACTCTCGAGTTCGTTTAGAGATACAGCATAACATTAGTCTCTTTTTCTCTTACGAGCTCTGTTAAAATGTGGATACTACGAGTAACAAATATCACTTAGTCAAACGAAAGAGATCAGGCGGAAGGCCATAGAAACGACGATCTATATTTGCCCTTCTCGCCACGCAGATCTCTAAAGATATACGAGGAGAAAAAGCATCAATCAGCTATAGCAACATTGGGCTGTCCTACTGCAATCTACAACTGTTCTCTGGACATCAAACCCAACAGCACTCCATTTTTTTATCGGGACCTTTGGTAAGGCCTTGAAATAGGAGAAAATATGCATAGAACTAAAAGAAGAAAGGATAAGGAAGCAAAGGAGAAAGGCTTGACACGTGGACGGGCCGATCACTTTCTTACCTGCTTTCTCGTCTCACTCCAATAAGCTGGGTCCACAAGCTCCTTAGGCTCTCTAGGTATTATAAGGCTGCTTGCGGCCGATCCTGCTATCCTCCTTCGATCCGATGCTGTAATGGTGGCAGCAGCACCCGAGTCTGTAATCATCTCCGCCGACGCGTCGTTCTACTAACATTTTTCTTTTTTAGTTTTAACCATCTAAATAAGCAACAGTAGAAAAAAAAGGATTTGAGCCCCATCAGAGAGCTAGAAGAAGGTTGTTCTAAGAGATACAAGGATCGGGAGCTGTCGGGACCGGGCTAAGAATTCCGAGCGTATCAGTGAGGTGGCAGCGGTAAACCAGCGATGCGAACGGACTGCCAATGAGTTAAAGACCTTTGACTTATCCGCTGCTGTCCTAGACATCACATACTATGTGGCACATTTTCTACCACCGGAGGCTATGCCAAATCACAGTTTCACCAAGAAGTCATGCCTTTGACGCTTCGTCAACCTATGATACTTACATACACAGTGCTGTGGTGTGAAAAAGATATTTATACATGTATATAGGAGCTTGTTAAGAAGGTCTCGTTTGTTAAGCTTTCTTAGCAATGACTAGTTTTACCATGAAAAGTCATGCTCTCTTATGGCAAAAGGTCAATCGTGAATACAAACATGGTATTGTGCATTTTATTATTGGCGTTCATGTTATCCACGTGGCTACATTTGGATTCGTGTGCTGGAACGCTTAAGTCAAGACCTTTTTTCGACGAATAAAGAAAAACGCATAGAATAATAATGATAATAGATAAACATATACAGAAACGAATATATTTTCAAAAACATATATATTTCATATATAACACATTCATATGGCATACTCGCAACTGTTTCTAGGTCTCGGCGAATGAGGACGCCACTGTGTGGATGTCGATTATGGCACCCCCTAGAAAACTTCAGCACTATAAATGGGCCGCTTTTGCAGCATTAGCTTGTACCAGGTTAGAGAACCTACGACGTAGTAGCATCTGTTTTTGTTGGGTGGGTTTAACTTCTTAGCAGTTAGGCAAGAAATCCTTATTTAGGGTTGCGATTGCTACCACCAAAAACATGGCTAAAACATAAGATTGTCGCATCGAATACATCCCGTGTGCTCAAACTAAAGGAAAAGTAACATTTTCTGTTCCTTTTACACAGCCGAATTCAGCCGCTGACGATAAATGAAGTGTGTTCTACGCCCGAAGCCATAGGTTAGATCTATGTTTTTAGCCAACGTCTAAAGACTTTCCATTTGAAGTCAGACATTTTTCAAATTTCGCTTATGTTTTCGCTAAATGTCAACCACTGCCCTCTTCGGTTACTTGGCTACCGTGTTTTTATACAGAATAAAAATTAGATTTACAAAACTGCATTTAAGCTCCAAAGTCTCTCAAGAAAAAGATGCCCGCACGAAACCTGATCTTGCCGGAGATGGACAACAGAACGAAATAGAAAACGGACAATCACAATACAAATTTATCGCTCAATAAAAAAGCTATATATATATATAGATATATATAGCATATATATCTATATATATATAGCATATATAATCCAACTTTCAGTAATTTCATTTTATCGACGATTCTATTTCGAGTTTTATTTTTATTCTATTTTCTTTTTCCTGAAACTGTGTGTAGTCTACAAAGATACATAAACCAGATTTCCCTATTTCTTTGTTGTCTAATTACCGCCATCGTCAGTGTCTCCTCCTCGTTTTTTTCTGTCGACCCGTGCGGAGCGTTGCATAGGGGAGTTTTCGTCCGCGCAAAAAGACGAGCGCCTCCTCCCGGAAGGACGCATCTCGTGAGACAAACGATATGACAAGTTCCTGCTTAGGTAGGGGCGTCAAAAAGGCAATAGCTACTTCCGAAACGTTTACCGAAACACCGGTAAGAGAAACACTGCTACCTGCTGACGTAGTTTTCTGTTCGTAGTGGCTTGTCGTGTTGATGTAGATTACCGCAAATTGTTATTTTACTCCGTGGATGAGACAAGCCGGAGCGGGTTTCTTGGTTTGCCCATCTTTATGCCAACCTATTCTTGTAACCCTTTATTCTCCTCTTTCCCGGCTCACCTCGATTTATTATACTTGGCATTGTTTTCGCTGCTACTTCCGCTGCTCTCTCTGCCTAGCCTGACTTGCAGCAAAAGAACAGCGCAACCAACATTTTTCCTACTTTAAGTTTTGTATCTCTCAAGAGCAATCCGTTGAATTTGTAACGTACTCCGTTCTACAAATGTCTTGCAAAAATCTAGTCATGCTGCTGATACTGAGGTAACGCATCGTTCCATTTATGTCTTGCCGCCCATTTCCTGAGAGTCTAAGCCGACCCGTGTTGCTCCGTCCTGCCCTGTCTTGTGCTGCCTTTTAGTCCTAACCCTGCAGCTTACGGTACTGCCGGTGTCAGCTGTAATAGTAGTAGTACCATTGATAGCTATGATGGCCTTGGCTGAGACACTTAGTGCTCTGTCGGACATGGGAGCCTTCATTTTGCCGTTTGCTTACACTGAGGTCCGTCCTTCCCTGTTTTTTCGTCGTCTTCCAACACGCCGTCGGGTCCGCCCCCGTAGCCCCCGTTACTCGCTGCTGCGCTGCGCCGCGGCCCCGTTTCGTTCTGTGGCTCATACAGACGGACTGACTCAATAGCTTCGACGTTCGTTCGCTCCGATTGGCAGCAATAACGATGAGCAAATTATTCCGACGACGTTATCAATTCCCAAGAAGTCTGTAAGGCAAAACTTGCTAGACCGGTCAGGTCGCTTGCAAGGGAAGTCCTTGCAAAATAACGGATCTGCTCGAATTTGAATTCCCGATACGCGTTGTCGTTTCGCTTCGTCCCATCGTCTTGCTGGTTTGACGGTGTCGTGAGACCTTGTCCGCAAGACAATCGCTTTAGCGAAGAGTGAGCTGCTAGAATAGTACTCAACAAACAGTTAAAGGAATAGCCAACCAACGCTCGGCTGGCAACCGTTCATCCCTTGGGAGGCCACGAGGTACTGGTTGGCTCTTTGGATCTGTCGCAACCTCTTGTAGTCGTTCAGAAAGTAGAAAAACCGACTCGCATCTTCGTTTAAGTTTCATCTCGGGTTTTTGTCGGGTGTTGGAAAAACTGAGCGCCAGCGCTGGACTGGTTTCACTCCCATCAGCATTTCCGCTTTTAGGAAATCCTCTACTACCGGCGTGTCTATTGGCTAAGCAGGCTAACTTCGATTCTCTGTCTCTCTGTCATTATTTTTTGCATTTCTCTCAAGCAATTTCAGCGCATTTTGTCGTACTCTAACCTATTCCCTTTTCTACCTCTGCAGAATTTGCCACTACCAACCTGACGCATGAACCAAAAGCAGATTTCATCTCCGAAGCACTGAAGACTCTTAAAGGAGGCCTTAGGAAAAGAGGCTTTCCATGCTGGTTCTCTTCTCGGCACCCACGCTCAAAGCCCCGAAGACGCGAAGGCAGGCAAAAGCAGACAATATCGGTGAAAGCTTGACTGCAGTGCCTCCGTCGAGGTGGGCCAACGAGAGGAAGCTCGTGTACGGAATATTATTCGATGTGTATGCGAAGTTCGAGACTTGGCCAAAGGGACCCATGAGACCGGAAACATCGGTATCCTCTAACGAATAAGAACACTGTGTCGAGCTACCTAATCCTATAAAAGCTCAACTTCAGGCTTATATGAATGCGTGTTGTCACGTAAATGAACAACCAAGTTACCTGAGCAGTTATCTACGTTAACATTACCTAAACATTCTTACATACTCAATGCTTACGAACGCTTCGGTTGTAGCTACGTGATAACACTGTTCCAGACTATTGCTTTACTGGAAGTAGCGATTTTGGTTGAACATGTTCGCTTCGGAACCCTAACATAATTTAATCGATTTCAAATAGTTGGCCTCATCCGCCTTATCAATCGCTTGTCCTTCTTTATTTCCTTATCGTTGTTTTCAGAAATTCGTCAGAGGAAAGACTGTTTCGCGATTTTACTACCGAAAAGTACCACTATAACTAGAGCAGATCAGCTGGCACAATCAGCCCTGTATACGATGATCTAAAACCGTCAGCCGGTTCTCGTTTGACGGTCAACAGAATCGCGCGGTCAGATCAATTAGTATATCCATCGACGACAGAAAGTGTACGGAATTCGAGGGACGCCCAGTAGTTTCCTCATCACCTGGTTTCAGCCAAATTCCGAACAAATTCTTGAGACGAGAAATATTGACGGTGAATGCGACTGGCTCGCTGCCGAAACACTAATTTATCGGAACGGCCTTCACCTTGGCTATTTTCGCTGCTGAAGCCTGGTCGGTCAGCCACTTGTCGTTGTTGGCTTTCGACAAAGAGACGGCTATGCCGCGATGCTAGAGCCCTGTTCCCAGTGTTACTAACCTAAGAAACCGCTTAGAAGGCGATCCGCTACCACAATTGCTGAATTTAGGAATATTTTTTCGGCAGAAACAAGTAGGCAACCATCTAACTTAGTAGTTTTCTATAAATTTCCTTTGTAAGCGACCGTCATAAGTGCAACGGCGATCTTCATCGGAAGCGAGTGTTGCTTAGCAGCGCAATCCTTCTCCATTTCGGTGACGATCACAGGCCACAGTAGCAGTAACGCTCAATGTGGCTGCGTCACAATGTTTCCCTAAAAGCCAATTCCTTCGGTGACTTGATGCGAGTTCGGGCTTGCTAGACGAGTCCTTTTTTTTCACTCACTGCACTTGTGTCAGTAGGTCGGTCGGTTCCTGAATTCTTTTTGCTTTGTTTGGTCCTATTTTCCTACTGCCGAAAGACGACTGTAGAATTTTTTTCTTTTCTTCTATACTAATTCATTGATGAGCTGGCCTAGTGACTAGTTGGTGTTCTTCTTCCATAAAACGTCAGTTATCGCCCGCGCACACACTCTTTCTAGATCTTGCCTCTTTATTCTTAAACAACCTTTTCATATGGGCTTGCCTTTAAAGCCGTTCTGCTTCGTCAACACTTGCAGCCCACGCAAGTCTCGGCCATGATCCTTGGCCAATAACGCGGCGCAGTAAAGGACGCGACGCGGCAATTCGCCTGCGTAGAATAATGCGTCTACGGTGCGTTTGCATTGGACCGCTGCCATCCGAAGGATCTAACTTTTAATAGATAAGTAGCTGTTATTGTTTATACCATTAAAGTGAGGTCGAGGCGGCATCCCGATTGGGCATCAATTTGAGGTGTGGAATGACTGTATTATAGAAAGCCAGCTGTCCTTTAGGTTCTCGACGCGAAGTAAGCGGAATTAATGAGTTGCCTCGACTCCAAGAAGCGTTCCACTTCTCATAGCTGGTCAAATTTCGGGAAGAATTTTTGCGACGAAAACATTTTTAACTCGTGAGTTGGTTGGTGGAGCTATTCGTCAATTTCAACAATACCCCGGTAAATCGCTGGCGGTGACTGATAAGTCGAATGTCACTAAATATAAATAACATTAGACAAGTTCCTTTTAAAGATTGAATACCAAATTAGAGCAGCATTGGCTGTTGCTCTTCAATGATGGCTACTATGCTTTTGTAAACAGACATACGTTCTGAATCTGTCTAGTACTCGAACTGGAATCGGCTAAAAAAAAAATGTGAAACAGGAGCTAGAAGGATAAACAATTTTGCTGTTGCCATGATTGCGGAAGTTCAATGCTTCGTTGCGTATTAAAAATCTAGATATGGCCGATTCGGGTCATTTCTCCAAGCCTACGTTTTTATTGCGTTATAAGCTTTTATAAAACTTTATAAACGTTATAAAACTTTTAACTCTAAGTGCCTATCGATATCAAAATGCATAATAAAAGGCAGTCAACCCCAATTCTACTACAAGTGCCTTATATATATATATATATATATACATATATATATATATATATATATATATATATATATATATATATAGCGGATCGATGATAAATCTATTTACAGAATAGGGTAAAGTATCTATGAGGTACGGCAAGACAAAGTCAAGTCTTTATAACGGTACAATCGGCAATTCAAGCAAAGCACTTAGTATTATGTTACCTGTTCCTGGTAAAAACTTCAGTCGAAACTAGGCATCTTTAACGGCGGGAATTTCGCATAGTATTTATTTAAGGTATATTTCCATATAGATACCACAGCGGACCGGAAACAGCTTTTCAAATGAAACCGCCTCCATTATTGACGACCTCGGTAATCACGGCAGAAGCAGAAAAGATGCCAGAAGAAGACTACGTGACAAAGCATAAGTAACACCTCTACTCGTAGAACAGGTAATCCTTTTAAAATATCATCTGCCTTCCGTACGATAGACCAGCTGTCAGGCTCAGACAATTTATCTAAAATGTACGCAACTGAAGAAAGGGTTCCCAGGGGGGAGTAATATTTGTGAATATTAAATAGACAAAGGCACACAAAAGACACGTGAATACATATACTAATCTCATCATAATACCACTGCAATATTAAATTGAGTAGTCTCGGTGCTGTGGAACGGTCAGAGTCGTTAGTGCCCGGAAAATCGACGGATGCCTCCATACCTTTTCCTTCCTGTGAACGAACTATAGTTTGTTATTTCTCATATAATACTTTACAGTAAACAGCTGGTTGCTTATCATTTAGATAAGCCAGTGGTGTTTTCCGGTTTACGATAGGGGCTCATTTAAAAAAAAATGGATAGCTGGTATTGACGCTAAACGAAGACAGTAGTAGCGGATTCCGCTGGTGGCTAAATGTCCACAAAGATGCAAGAAAATAAGCTATATGACATACGAATTTCCTTCCGTAGCAGGCTACTATAGCTAATTATTTATATCGCTGACTATATTATACTATAATATCGATAGGCGAACAGCACCGTTTGCTCAAGAAGGGAGACTAACTTCAAGTTCTAGATTTTTTTGGCATGGTATTCAGTTGAGATCAGATGCCCTACATGGACCTCGTACACTAAGGTGGAGGTTGGACAAATGTAATAAACACATTACTAAAAGGCTCAATTTAAATGTCAAACTTATGTTACTCTTATGTAAGGTGTTATATTAACAGATAACCTCGTACTTACCGTATTGGATCTGTCTTACGTCATGGATTGCACATAGCATGACAGGCATCGCGATTCGAATATGGCTCGTAGCGAACCTCAAAGCTTTACTGTCTAATCGTGTTAATTGATTTAATTAATTATTAATTAGCATTTTGATGGTATAAAATTGACGATTTTGACAGTTTTTCCTCATGAATGCTGAAACACCAAGCTGATTCAAAGAAAAGCTGCCCCCCAAAGATGCCACAAACGCCTTATAGTTCGCCTTAAATGATCTTAACGAGTTTCTACTTTACATTCGATTATACCTCGCTCCCATGCTATTCTATAACACAAGTACGTTGTAACGATAATATGCAGCTTAACCCTCTTCCTGCTAGCTATATACGACTTAAACATTGCAAGGCGCTCACGTTGACGCCAAATTGCTGTTGACACACTGATAGCCTTTAGCCCATTCGCGTCTTTTATCATTGGCGTAACGTCCGTGATAGTGAGAGAAACAAAAGCGCAATATCCCCCTTGGATATAGGAAAACGAAGTTAGTCTGTACACTGCATTACTGCATGTGCATACATTACAACGTAGTAAGTGAAAGACAAAAAGGTCATACAAGGGTTGGCTTGTACTTATAAATAAAAAATGGCTTGTAAATCCCCGGCTGGGGAGCGGGAACGCCTTGTAGGGTACTTCACATAATGAGCAGCGACTGCAAGAATAACTTCTTCGGATGAACGGCCGGCGGGGTTGGCTGAATGCAATGGGGACGATGGAGGCCGCAGAAGATAGATACGCGCCCCCAGTAAGAGAACAGGGAGTATAACGTGCAATGTTTGCAATCTTTACCAAGTGCCGGGTATGACGTTCCCCGAGGCGTTTTTCAAGCACCGACTCTCTTTCCTTTTCTCACTTGTGCCGCATTTTCTCTGTGTTCATGTTCGCTATAAGATGGCACAGTTGGCACATTGGCCTGAATGTAGCGGGTATTTTGCAGACATGGCCCTGGCGTACGGCTCAGGGCCATGCCTGCCAAAAAAAAGATCGCAATGTCTTGGTATCTGATGTGCTAGCGTGCAGCAGGAAGCTCAAATACTCTGCTCGCCACTGGTACACTTAATAGAGAAGCGACAGCATCAGTGACAGAAGCAAGAGGAGTTGGAGACTCGTGTGGACTTGGGGGCCAACATATGGGCCGTTTCAGTGGATATGTATGCGAACGGCTCAAAGCGTTTAGCAAGTGCGGCCAACCTCAAATGGCCCCAAATCAGGGAGCCCTTTCACTTCCGGTAGACCCAGCCTGACACTGCCTTACCCCTCTTCTTCTGTGCACATTTCAACAATGACCTGAGCCAATCACCGGCAAAAGCATAGCTCGGCAGCGTCAGAGACAGCGGGCCACTAGAGGATAAGCCGGTACAGGTCTATAGCTGACTCTTTCTATATAGTATATAGTAGGGCTATTGGACCATCACACGTCATCCAAACGACCTTGCTATATCAAGCAGCAGTTTCGCTGAAGGGACCAAGACGTGTGGGACGGCAGACCGAATGCCAACGGGCTTTTCGGCCGTTGCTTAGGTCCCCAATGTAGCAAGTGCGTGCCGCAAGGACGAAAGCCGTAGAGGACTCTGTAGCAACCAGAGCCACGGTACCTGGTAGTGAACGCTCTCGGCAACGCCTAGAGACTAATACCCATTGTATAATACGGATGTAGGATTGAGTTGTTCGTAGCACTGAATCTCTAGTAGTTGATCTTGGGGCTAGCGTAACGGCATGATCTTTCCACACCAGTAAATTGTGTACGATATACCAGAGTGAATCGTGCTTTAATCGTTCTAGTGGCAGCTGTCGTGGCGTCTTGTTTGCTAGGCCAAACGCTCGCTTTGAATTTTCAAATCATGGGAACTACTTGTTCTCGTTTACGTCAGGCCTCTTTCATTGACATGATCTCAAAGCTCTCTTAGTGCTAAAGCCTTAATTATGTGTACAAATGCTAGTAATGATATTCGGCAATGGTAGCAGTTACACATGACTCGTGCAAAAAAAAAATAAGCACACAGTAACTGTGAGCTTAATTTATTTAAACCCAACTAATAATGTTCCGACGTATAAATATAGAGCTAGCTCGGCGTAAATACCGCACCATGTCGCAACGATATTAAAATTTTGCTTAAAATCAGCCAGGTCCTTAAGAACCTATGCTCGAAGCTGTTTTCCAGGAAAAAAAATTCTTCAGCTGTTATTAGCTGCTACAAACTGAAAAGTAAAATTGAAGTAATAAGACAAAGTGCAATGGTATGCAATGTCTATAGGCTGGAATTTTTATCTAATATGCTTAGTTTCACTAAACTAAGGTTACTTTAAAGCGCTCTGAATCAATAATATCGAGACAGAAAAATAATATATTTCTCAAATATTGAACGAATTCAAGCAGAACCAATAAAACTTGCTTTGCTTTCCACATAAATAACTTGATATTGTCCTAAGCATCCTCAAACGAATTGTAGTTCGGTCCTAGTCGAGTTGTCTGCGTCTCAAGAGCAAAACTCGTATAGCAGAATATGGGATCGAGATTTCACTGCCTGCTGATGCCGCTACCATTGCTGTTTAATCATCGTCGGTTGTCATGCTTCCCGTCATAAAGGCATATGCAAACTTCGCAGACGTTCACGTCCTATCGCATGATCGCACCACTTCACAGTTCTACGTTGAGACTTTTTAGCGCAGCCGATTCAATGCCCTGTGCAGGCAGCCGGACAGCCTCACGCCGGTTCTTGCAATATCCGTTTTCCGCTTCCAGCACGCTCACAAACTGAGCCACGCAACCAAGCGATTTGAGCACCTCGACGACTACCAGATGTTATGCCCGTCGAATGCTTCATACTACATGCCACGCTCGCGATAGTAATATGCCAGTGAGCAACGGCATAACATATCTCATATGGGGATTTTTCAACGACCTCTCGGTCGGTACGTAATTCTCGTTTTCTTTGTAACGTTATGATAAAGCAGTAAAGTCTGAAAACGGAACAGAGGATTTTTTTTCCGGGGTGGGTGGGGTCTGGAGGGCATAGGGAGAGCTAGAGTCCGAATATAGGCGCGGATTCAGTATTCATAGTGAGTTCTAGTTGCAAATTGTGTAGTTATACTCCTATAGTGCGACCATCTCTTTACTAAGCTAGATTCGTTTGCGGCCATTGGACTATTCGCGATCTTACCTCAAACTTCATAGTACTATTTCGGAAATCCTTTTTGTCTCCTTGTGCTCGTAGTAACCACTCAAAAGAAGGTATTATATTTCTATGCATCATATAGGGCAAGTGACTGGCCGGTTATCTTTATTCGGGTTCACAGCCGAGTTCCAATAGCGACTGGCGCTTCAGCAACCGCTGGTTAGCTGTATCCGGTCTAAATCAGCAATGGTCGCTAGCTCATCATCTTTTGTTGCCAGCAATATCGCCCTCCCTCGAGGGGCTCGCACACGAAAAATATAGAGATAAAATATATAAGTTGAAGCTGGTTTGTGTTTACGTTCAGGTTACACTAACTAGACAAATCTGACGCCGGTGCGCCTT